AGAGGCCCACCTGAATGGTGGGATCTAGCAGAAAAGCCTGTTGTGATAAGGACAAACTTCCGCTATGGACAATGGTGAATTTACTGTATTTAGAGCAGGCAACCTAATCTATGTTTGAACCTGGCACTTGGGAGATGAAAGGTTGTTGAAGACTTTGGGCCTGCTGTACCCATTGATCACACTGCATATGCGGGAGCTGCTCCACTGCTATAGAGATTGTCCTTCAGAGGAGAATTTGGCTTGATGCTGGAATTACTGGGTGAGAGTCTGTGGCCTGTGCTATGCAGCAGATCAGACGAGATGATCATAATGGTTCTTTCTGGCCTTAAAATCTATGAATCTATGAACTGGGGTCTGTTCTATCCTTCTGTGGTGGCTGCCCAGGAGGAAGATAAGTTCCCCATGTTATTTTGCAATAAGAGGAAGAAGCAGCAGGAGTATCCTTCTTTCCCATCCCTCCTGCCACAGATCCAAAGGTGCATAAGCTATTGCTATGTGCAGATCTCACCTTTGTGGTCACTGCACTACTAGAACTGAACCCTTTGCTTTGTCGGGTGTCTTGAGATCTCTGAGACACTGTATAAAACCTCACGCTTCTTCCTTCTGTTAATCTATTGCCTCTTCTAGCAGCTTTAACATTCTGGGTCGCTGTGATGTAGATTTATTCCTAGTCTATGATAATCGAATAATAGGCCCTTATATAGCTCGCTTCATCAGTAGTTCTCCAAGCACTTTTTACAAATGTGAGTAAGAATGATTATCCCCTCTTCACACGTAGGTACACACGTAGGGAAATGGGATACCGGGAGGAAACACAAGGAGGAGGGTACAAGACGGGAAGTCTCCTGATTCATACTGAGAAAGTAGGGCAATTGGCTAGTTATCTTAAGTGCATGTACACGAACGCAAGAAGCCTGGGAAACAAGCAGGAAGAAGTGGAAGTCCTGACACAATCAAGGAACTATGATGTGACTGGAATAACAGAAACTTGAAGGGCCAATTCACATGACTGGAGCACTGTCATGGATGGGTATAAATTGTTCAGGAAGCACAGGTACAGGAGAAAAAGTGGAGAAGTTGCATTGTATGTAAGAGAGCAGTATGAAACTGGAGAAAAGCCTGTGGAGAGTCTTTGGGTTAAGTTTAGAGGCGAGAGCAACAAGGGTGATGTCGTGGTGGGCATGTGCTATAGACCACCAGACCAGGAGGATGAGGTAGACAAGGCTTTCTTTGGACAACTAACTGAAGTTTCCAGATCACAGGCCCTGATTCTAATGCAGGACTTCAATCACCCTGACATCTGCTGGGAGAGCAATACAGCAGTGCACACACAATCCAAGAAGTTTTTGGAGAGTTTCGGGGACAACTTCCTGATACAAGTGCTGGAGGAACCAACTAGGGGCCGTGCGCCTCTTGACGTGCTGCTTACAAACAGGGAAGAATTGGTAGGGGAAGTAGAAGTGGGTGGCAACCTAGGCAATTCTACTCCGGGTTCCAGCCCAGGGCCCTGTGGAATGCTGCTGTATGGATGTATGCTGTATGCCTCCTGGAACAGCTGTGTGACAGCTACAACTCCCTGGGCTACTTCCCCATGGCTTCCTCCCAACACCTTCTTTATCCTCACCATAGGACCTTCCTCCTGGTGTCTGATAATGCTTGTACACCTCAGTCCTCCAACAGTCTGCGTTCTCACTCTCAGCTCCTAGTGCCTCTTGCTCCCAGCTCCTCACACGCACACCACAAACTGAAGTGAGCTCCATTTTAAAACCCAGGTGCCCTGATTAGCCTGCCTTAATTGATTCTAGCAGCTTCTTGATTGGCTGCAGGTGTTCTAATCAGCCTGTCTTAATTGTCTACAGAAGGTTCCTGATTGTTCTGGAACCTTCCCTATTACCTTACCCAGGGAAAAGGGACCTATTTAACCCGGGGCTAATATATCTGCCTTCTATTACTCTCCTGTAGCCCGGATCCCAATAGGATTACTCTCCTGTAGCCATCTGGCCCGACCCTGTCACAACTCTCTTAGGGAACTGATGGGCAGGATCCCCTGGGAGGCTAATATGGGGGGGCAAGGAGTCCAGGAGAGCTGGCTGTATTTTAAAGAAGCCTTATTGACGGCGCAGGAACAAACCATCCCGATGTGCAGAAAGAATAGCAAATATGGCAGGCAACCAGCTTGGCTTAACAGCGAAATCTTCACTGAGCTTAAACTCAAAAAGGAAGCTTACAAGAAGTGGAAATTTGGACAGATGATTAGGGAGGAGTATAAAAATATTGCTAGAGCATGCAGAGGTGTAATCAGGAAGGCCAAGGCACGATTGGAGTTGCAGCTAGCAAGGGATGTGAAGGGTAAAAGAAGGATTTCTACAGGTACATTAGCAACAAGAAGGTCAGGGAAAGTGTGGGATCCTTACTAAATGGGGGAGGCAACATAGTGATAGATGATGTGGAAAAAGCTGAGGTACTCAGTGCTTTTTTTGCCTCGGTCTTCACAGACAAGGTAAGCTCCCAGACTGCTGCACTGGGCAACACAGTATGGGGAGGAGGTAAGCAGCCCGCAGTGGTGAAAGAACAAGTTAAGGACTATTTAGAAAAGCTGGACATGCACAAGTCCATGGGTCCAAGTCTAATGCATCCAAGGGTGCTGAGGGAGTTGGCTGATGTGATTGCAGAGCCATTGGCCATTATCTTTGAAAATTCGTGGCAATTGGGAGAGGTCCCGGACAACTGGAAAAAGGCAAATATAGTGCCCATATTTTAAATAGAGAAGAAAGAGAACCCGGGGAACTACAGACCGGTCAGCCTCACTTCAGTCCCTGACAAAATCATGGAGCAGGTCCTCAAGGAATCCATTTTGAAGCATTTGGAGGAGAGGAAGGTGATCAGGAACAGTCAACATGGATTCACCAAGGGCAAGTCATGCCTGACCAACCTGATTGCCTTCTATGATGCGATAACTGGCTCTGTGGATATGGGGAAAGAGGTGGATGTGATATATCTTGACTTTAGCAAAGCTTTTGATACGGTCTCCCACAGTATTCTTGCCAGCAAGGTAAAGAAGTATGGATTCGATGAATGGACTATAAGGTGGATAGAAAGTTGGCTAGATTGTCAGGCTCAACGGATAGTTATCAATGGCTTGATGTCTAGTTGGCAGCTGGTATCAAACGGAGTGCCCCAGGGATCGGTCCTGGGGCCGGTTTTGTTCAATATCTTTATTAATGATCTGGATGATGGGATGAATTGCACCCTCAGCAAGTTCGCAGATGACACTAAACTGGGGGGAGAGGTAGATATGCTGCAGGGTAGCGATAGGGTCCAGAGTGACCTAGACAAATTGGGCCAAAAGAAATCTGATGAGGTTCAACAAGGACAAGTGTAGAGTCCTGCTCTTAGGAAGAAAGAATCCCATGCACCGCTACAGGCTGGGGACCAACTGGCTAAGCAGCAGTTCTGCAGAAAAGGACCTGGGGATTACAGTGGACGAGAAGCTGGATATGAGTCAGCAGTGTGCCCTTGTTGCCAAGAAGGCCAACGACATATTGGGCTGTATTAGTAGGATCATTGCCAGCAGATCAAGGGAAGTGATTATTCCCCTCTATTCGGCACGGATGAGGCCACACCTGGAGTATTGTATCCAGTTTTGGGCCCCCCACTACAGAAAGGATGTGGACAAATTGGAGAGAGTCCAGAGGAGGGCAGTGAAAATGATTAGGGGGCTAGGGCACATGACTTATGAGGAGCGGCTGAGGGAACTGGGGTTATTTAGTCTGCAGAAGAGAAGCGTGAGGGGGAATTTGATAGCAGCCTTCAACTATCTGAAGGGGGGCTCCAAAGAGGATGGAGCTAGGCTGTTCTCAGTGGTGGCAGATAACAGAGCAAGAAGCAATGGTCTCAAGTTGCAGTGCCGGAGGTCTAGGTTGGATATTAGGAAACACTATTTCACTAGGAGGACGGTGAAGCACTGGAATGGGTTACCTAGGGAGGTGGTGGAATAAGGCCTGGCTTGACAAAGCCCTGGCTGGGATGATTTAGTTGGTGTTGGTCCTGCTTTGAGCAGGGGATTGGACTAGATGACTTTCTGAGGTCTCTTCCAATGCTAATATTCTATGATTATATGATTCTGTATAGAGGTTAGGTGACTTGCTGAAGGTTACATAGCAAGACAATGGGAAAACTGGAGACAGAGCACAGGTCTTTTGATGATCAACCTGATGCGCTATGTACTGGATGGTGCAGGATCCACTAAAGCCCCATGTATGTTCTGAAAACAGTGGGCTGTTAAACCTGGTAGTGGCCCAGCAAAGTTTTAACACATGTCGATCTAGCCACATGGCAGGGCCAAACTGTGTCATACCTTGATGAAAATGTAGCCTCTGTCTGATCCACGAAGTCAGAGCAAATGGTGCTAGAGTATTGTGCTTCTCTAAAGCACACAGGGCCTTCAGTGGATCCATTCCTTCTCTTGTGCAGGGAGCCATACTTACTCAGAGATTGCCCCCCTGGGGTGTGATTCCCAGCACGGCTGTCCAGAGCTCTCTGTGGAACATTTGAGTGCGCTGGTGCCTTCCCAGTACCTTGGCTGTATAGTGAAGCGACACTCAAGGCCTTGCATTGATGCAGTTTTTCCAGATGCCTGTTTTCATTCAGTCCCGCATAGTCAGATGTTTGGGAGACTGGAAAGGACTAAGGATGAAGAGGGAGGGCATCATTCGTGTGGCTTGGCAGAGGGAGTGCTGGATTTTTCCAGGACCATAGGAATGTGTAGGCATTAGTAGGTATATGAACCTGAAGGGAAAGACCTGGGTCTAGAGCCAAGGGGAAACAGAACCAGACCATGATGCATTTGTAGCTCTCCTGCTGCTCACAATGAGCATTCGTCTCTCTTGGGATGCTGGGGTGGAAGAGGAGGACACGGTACAGCCTGGAGAGAGGGAGTGCTGGGACACGCTCTTTACATCTTACTAACCCTTGGTGTCTCATTTCTCTCCCCCTTGCAGGAGCCTTTGCCAAGGTGAAGGAGAGCCAGCGGATGAGTGACGAGGGGAAGATGGATCAGGAAGAGGCAGATGGGATTCGGAAGCGCTGCCGCGTGGTCGGCTTTTCCCTCCAGGCGGAGATGAACCACTTCCATGAGCGACGCATAGCGGACTTCAAGAAAATGATGCAGTCCTACCTGAAACAACAGATCATCTTCTACCAGAGGGTCAGCCAGCAGCTGGAAAAAACTTTACACATGTATGACAACCTCTAATGCCTTCCACGCCTGATGCATCTGCTTCCCTCTGTTCATCTGGACTTGCGTGGTTCGCTCCTTGGAGCCCTGCAGACCTTCCTGTTTGAAATGGACTGAAAACAAATGGAAACTCATGATGCCAGTGTCCAAATTCCATTTGGCTTTTCCCCATTTTCCTTGAACTAATTTGCAGAGATATGCAGGAAATTGTTATACTCGTGTCTTCCGGCTGACCATTCCACTTCTTTCTCTGATAGACTGACCCCCAGTCCCATTCCATCTCCCAGAGTTTATGGGCAGGACATAGGTACTTTTCACAAGCGAAATGGACACTGACTCTATGACACTAACTTTCTTTGCAATAAGCTTTAGCTTCTGGAAACATGTTTCCATACAGTAGGGAGGTTAATACACTACATCCCAAGTAGAGTTGGTCAAAAGTTTACACACACAAAGCTTTTCTGATGGGAAAAAAAGGCCTTTATTCAAAACTGGAACTTTTTTTTAAAATTGTCATAATTTTCCATTTTTCACAAAAGTTTCTGTGAGATTTTTTACCAATAATTTTTTACTAGAAACCATTATGGAAATTGGGACTGAAATCTTTATTGACTGTGTCTGTTTACCAAAAATGTTCTGTAGTGCTTTCAATAAAAGGTTGACTATATAAATATCGGCAAAACTTTTGTGGAAAATGGGCCCATTTCAACCCCCCTGAAATGGAACCAGTTGTGAAATTTCCTGTACAACTGTTTTTCCAGCTTTTTGACCAGCTCTAGCAACAAGATAGTTGGCATTGGAGTGCTAATGTTCAGACTGACTCCTGGAAATTCCACATGTAGCTTGGTTGCCCTCCAGTCATTTTCAACCCTAGGAGTGTAATAATCCTGGACTGACCCGCTCTCAGAATAAGAAAGCAACATAGCAAATGCCCCAGGAAAGATCATTCTGCCTCCAGAGTGAGGAAGGTTATGGAGCCATCTCAGTGTTGTTTCTATATGGCTCAGTCCCGAGACAAGCAGGTGAATGTTGGGATGGGACTACACATATGGTACAAAATAATATCCCCTCCCCAATCCTCTCGCCACAGCTCCCCACCCCAGAATCCACTGGGACTGAGACTCATCTCACACAGGCTTTACTCTGACATGCCTTCAATGGAGTCATCCCTGGTTTACACCGGGGAGGGCAGAATCAGGCCCACTATCTCTACGTTGCTGACTTGATGTTATCTGAGTCAGGTTTAAAGCATCAAAAGCAAAGAATTCTTTATTGGCCTTGGTAAGAGAGTCTGGGCCAAATTCTGCCCTTGGTTGCACCAGCATAAATTTGGAGTAATTTAATTGTAGTCACTGGATTTACACTGATGTAACCGAGAGCTGAATTTAGACCTGTGTCCCCATCATCTTCTGCTCCCGCACCTCCTCTGAGCCCTTCATCCGCAGCTGGAGTTGCCTTCCCAGGCATTCATGCAAGGATGAAGCTTCCCGGAGTCATATTGGCCATGACACCATCCTCCCTGCCTGTTCCTTACCTCTTCCCCAGCACTATCGTCTAGGACAGAGGTGGGCAAATTACAGCCCGCAGGCCACATCCGGCCCATGGGACCCTCCTGTCTGGCCCCTGAGCTCCTGGCCTGGGAGGCTAGCCCCCGGCCCCTCCCCTGCTATTCCCCCTCCCCCACAGCCTCAGCTCACTGCCCCGCTGGCGCAATGCTCTGGGTGGCGGGGCTGCAAGCTCCTCGGGCAGCACAGCTGCAAAAAAGCCCGGCCTGACCCGGTGTCTGTGCTGCGCTGAGGTGTGGCTGGCTCCAGCCGGGCTGCACAGCTGCCTGTCCTGGTGCTCTGGGTGGCATGGCTGTCGTGCTGCTAGCCACCGGTGCTCCAGGCAGCGCAATAAGGGGACAGGGAGCAGGGGGGGTTGGATAGAGGACAGGGGAGTTCGGGGTGGTGGTCAGGGGGCGGGGGTGTGGATAAGGGTTGGGGCGGTCAGAGGGTGGGGAACAAGGGGGTTGAATAGGGGCAGTCAGGAAGGGGAGGCTTCCCAGGGGGGCAGTCAGGAAGGAGGGGGGGGTTGGATGTGGCAGCGGGGGGCAGGCACTCAGGGGCAGGGATTCCGGGGGCAGTCAGGGGACAGGGAGAAGGGTGGTTGGATGGGGCAGGAGTCCCGGGGGGGGAGGTGGTCAGGAATGAGAGGAGGGGTTGGATGGGGTGGCGGGGGGCAGTCAGGAGCGTTCCAGGGCAGCTGGGGGATAGGGAGTGTGGGGGGTGGGGGTGGATGGGGCAGGGGTCCCGGAGGGGTCATCAGGGAACGGGGGGGGGTTGGATGGGGCAGGAGTCCCGGGTCAGGGGCATCAGGGGGCGAGAAGCAGGGCGGGGGATGGGGGCAGGGGCCGGGCCACGCCTGGCTGTTTGGGGAGGCATAGCCTCCCCTAACTGGCCCTCCATACAATTTCCAAAACCCGATGCGGCCCTCAGGCCAAAAAGTTTGCCCGCCCCTGGTCTAGGACATACCCTTAGGACATCAAGATGACTCAACAAGTCCCTCTTGGTTGTATGAAACACATCAGTCCCTGGTGACTCAAGATGCCTTAGCTTACCTTTCCCCAGGGGAACTTTGCAGCTCCTGTCCAAGGATGCCAGCAGGTAATGGCCACTTCCCCCAGCACTGGGCTGGGACACTCCAGCCAGAAGACGAGTCCTGCTGGCCTCACACTTGCAATAGACCTCATTCCCACTTAAGAGCAGCAACACTAACCCTGTTAGATGAGTGCTGGAGGCCGATGTGCTCAAACGTTTTGGTGGCAAGGGCCATGCTGGCCTTGCCTGGAGCCCTAGGCCTCCATCTCGTCTCATTTTCCACATGCTCCCTTTGTATCAACAATAAATGCAAACAACTGTCACGTTTGCCTGCACTGATATCTTCCCTGAGAGAGGGATACGAGTAGTGCATGGGCTGAGTTCTCCAGTGCTTGGCCTGGAGCACCGAGAGGGTGTGCAGACTCCACGAGGCCCAATAGCTCTGAGGCTGCAGTTCCTGGGTCCCTCTGGGTTCAGTTGATATTCCTGGTTGATGCTGGAGAGCTGAGTGTGTACACGCCTCACTAAAGGCTTCATTTGCAGAGGTGCTGAGTGTCTGCAGTTCTTACTGATTTCAACCGGAGCTCCAGCTGCCTAGCTCTTTGAGCAATCAGGCCTTGAGACCATATACATTTTGCTGTGGAAGCCATCCTCTCATGTAGCAGAGCACAGGGGTACAAGCGCCTCATCTCCCAGTCAGCGGAGTCCCCTTTATAAGGCACCAAGAGCATCAACACCACTCTCTGTGGAGAAGCTGCAACAGCGATACGAGCGTCCACCCTCCCGCCCCACATTCATTGTGGTAATACGGACGCCACAAAGAGATGCAGAGCGGAGTTGGCCTGTTCCTGGAAAGCCGCATCTGTCCAAAGAGGTCGTGCAGTCTGGCTCTGAACGGTGGTGACTTTTGCTTCCACTAGCAGCTGTCACAGGTTTCCCCCCCTCCCCCACTTCTTACAATTTTTTCCTCTGAGTTTCCCATGTCTTTGAAATACCTTGGTTGGGAGCAGAGTTATCCTTTTGCTGCAGGGGCGGAGCATCAGGGTGGAGCTAACCCTTTGCTGGCGGGGCGGAGCTTGGGGCCAAACAGAAAGAAAGGGGAACTTCAGGCCAGCAAAGAAATGTCCCATGTTGGGGGAAGGGGGTAGTTTTTAATTTTCTTGTCTTAGCAGCAGAATTCTGGGAACCAGGGGCTATGAATATAGCTGTAGGTACCTGTTACTTCCAGGGAGAATCCACGCACCATACGCCACTCCAGAACAGCATGTGGCTTAGGAGACAGGAGAGAAGAGTTACCATGATGCTGCACTGGGTGGCAGACGGGCCTGGCACTGGGCCCTTGTTTTTAAAGGGAAATGTCAAGAATAAATTACAGCAATGAAAGAAAGTTGGGCCTGCTTGGAGTTATTCCTGGGTTAAAAATAGCACTCGGGTCATGTGGTCCAGCAGCATATTGTTAAAACAATAACATCCCTGGGAATCCAGAGGGGCTGCATCTGGTCCCCATTTGGATTGAGTTCTGCTGGTTCATGTTTTTGCATCCTCTTGACAGTTAGGATTGATCCGTAATTTTCAATAAAAATGAACGTCTTGGTGAGTGCTGTATACTGTGCAGCGAACATGCCCTCATGCCTGCTGCATCCTCACATCCAGCGATCCCTGGCACTTACATTCTCCACAGTGGGTTGACACCCTTCCTGACTCCTGCAACAGCAGCCTAGTACCAGAGTATAGGGCCTAGCACTCCTACTGGGAGAGGCTGGGATGGAGTTACTGGGTCCCTCCCTAGGGCTGGCACTCCCGCACCGTTCCAGGGACTGGATTGCACTACTGTAGCTCTGAGCACCCTCCTGCCCCTGCTCTGACAGCATTTCCTGCAGGGAGAGGTTGGGCCTGGAGCAGCAGTGACATAATTCTATAGCAGCTCCATTTTTCACCCCTGGATCCAGCAGGCTGCCCTTTGCTTTGTTTACTGGCCTTGTACTGTTAATGTGGTAGGAGGGTTAACAACTTGTTTGTGTCCCAGTTGGCTGCAGAGTTGTGTGAGGTAGTTACTTCGCAGGGGACGGCTGAAAGCTTTGTCTTTGCCACATGTTGAAACCAGATGTCCCGAGACCAGACCACGTAGTCCAGCCTCCTATTGAATCACATTCTTCATCCTTGCGGGCACACAATGGGCTGGTCTCTCCCTCCCTTTGATTCAGAGTGCAGGCCACAGCAAAGAGCCTGCTACTCCCCGGTACAGCACAGACAGTGCAACAATGGAAGAGGAGCGTGAACTGGCCCGTCCAGAGAAACGTGGGACCCCAGCACCTCATGTCTGCTGGGGCCCCGCACCGCCCATTTCACTCTGTTCACGCAGACGTCGCAGGCGGCTTGAGGAGCCCGGGGCACTGGCACGATGGTCCCCCGTCTCCACCCCTCAGCCCCGAGCGGGAAGCCAGGCGCCGCTCTCCCCGTCGCCCAGCTCAGAGACACCAGGCTGCCCTGGCCGCAGGAGCCAAGGGCAGGGTGGAACGGTGCCCCTCCGTGAGGGCACTCTGCGCCCTGCGGAACCCTGACCAGCGCCTAGCCCCACCCTGCCAGGGAAACCCCCTCTGATTTGCTGCTTTCCTCACGGCTCCCCCCCCCCATTGGCAGAGCAGCCAATCAGAGCTGCCTCCAGGAAGTGAGCAAAGCTCTCTCCCTCCCCTCAGGAGCTGACACCGTTCTCAACTGGAAGGAGGAGGGAGCAGAAGAAGCCTGACAGCGCAGAGTGGCTCCACTCCCTCTTCCCCACTCCTGTGAGTAATGGGTCAGTCCCCTCCTCCCCCTCATCCCAATGGGTCAGTCTGCTCCCCCCCTGTTTCCCCCCTGCAGCACTCAGCCTGGGCCAGGGGTGAAGAGGTTCCTGGGGGTGGAGAACCCCGGTGGCTGCAGGAGGAGCAGAGGTGAGACGGGTTCAGAACAGATTGGGGGGAACAGGTGTGGGCATGAGGGGGCAGAGGTGAGACTGGGGGTCAGAACAGATGTGGGGGGAACAGATGGGGGCTGGAGGGGGCAGAGGTGAGATGAGGGGTCAGAACGGATGTGGGGGAACAGGAGGGGGCAGG